TATATAAAATTGCCAATAAGCAAAAAAAATTATATATTTTGTCATTGCCATCAAAATTCACATATCTTTTTTTTGTTAAATTTTTTTACAGGTCGTTTTAATTTCTGTTACTAATATGAAAAAAATATAATTTTATATTAATCTCACATTAGGAACTTATCTTTAATATATCGAGCGAGGAAAAAAGAACAAATCAAATAATTAAATGTTAGTTCTTACATAATTATTTTCTTTTAGTATTTAAATTGTTTATTTTATAGTATCATGGTTATAAGTCTTCTCTCTATGTGGTAAAAGAAGGTATAAATAGAGGGTATAAATTATTATATATAAAATATATATTTATGAAGATAAAATGTATATATATATGTATATATACATATATGTATATGTATATATATGTATATGGCTGCATCGGAAACGAGTGTCGTTCTATCTTTGTTTACATTTTAGTATTAAATAACAAAGATAGAACGACACTCGTGTGCACACGAGTGATGTTTCTGAACGCAGCCTATGTATATGTATATGTGTATATATATATGTATATATATATATACCTGCTCGATTTCTGCTACCAATCTGCCGTCAGATTGCGGGCGCGCAGATTCTGCTTGATTTCTGCTATCAATTTGACATCAAATTGCGTTGTGCAGATTCTGCTCTGTTTTTGCTGGCTATCTGCTATAATAATTCTATGCAAATCCTGCTCGGTTTCTGCTACTGATCTGCTGTCAAATTATGTCAGCACGTTTTGTAACATTTCTGCTGACATTCTGCTATTATTATTTGATATAACAGACTTTGTATACAATCTGGAATCTTTCTGCTGACAAAAATTTGTAGCAGACGTTTGGCAAAATCTGTTCGAACAGACTTGGCTATCTGGGTATATATATACATATATATACACATATACATATACATATATACAGAATGTCCTTGACCACCCGTACACCTCTTTTCTTTCAAAAATTAAGCATTTTAGAGAAAAACGTTTTGAACAAAAATTGTATGGTTTTGAGGGGAACATAAGATGGTGTCATTGGTTTGACCTTGGATGGCATCGTTAAGGTCAAGTCAAGGACACCTTTAATTTCTTAAATGGAATCCCATATTTTTTATTGCATATTCTTATAGCTTATGTCGAGAGCTTTCCAAAACATTCTAATAAAATATTTTTTCATTAAGTACTTTTTGAGTTATTTTATATTTCAATCTGGGACTTCCGGTTGGAGAGTGACGAAGGAAAGTTAGAGTAGTTATAGAAGGAAGGAAAGTGAAGGTGATAATTGTGGAAAGAAGAGGAAAAGAACGGAGAGTAGGGTGAAGTGAGAGAGGAGACAAAAGGAAAGCAAGGAAGTGGAGGGAAAAGGGGAAGTGAAAGAAGAGCAGAGAAGAAAAGAGGAAAGTAGAGAAGGCGGTTTTAGGTTAGGACAGCAACCATTAAGGTGGAGTGAGCGCGGGAAGTTGGAGCAGTAAAGAAGGTCGTAGTTCGCAGAGGAAGAGATAGATGGCAGCTAAGGTAGGCAGGCCCACGGGAAGTAAAAATAAGCAGAAAGAAAAAACACTAGAAAATTTCGGAATGAGCAGAGATCCGGAGAAGGAAATGGAAAGGAGGATAGAAGGAATAATGAGAATTTTTAAAGAGGAAACAGTGTCAGAAATGAGAGAACACTGTGAGAAACTAATGGAGAAACTAATGGGAAATATATTAAAGGAAATGCAAGAAAAAAGAGAAGCGAGAGAAGAGGAAAGAAGAAAGAAAGGAGTTGCTAGAAAGAATAAAAAGTTTAGAGATGGTACAAGAAAAGAAGGAAAGAGAAGAAAGGAAGAAGAACATGGTTATAAGAGGAATAAATATTGAAAAAACAAATATCGAGAAAAGAATAGAAGAATTTGTAAAGGAAAAATTGGGAGTAGAAATAAAGGTAGAGAAAGCATATGAGATAAAGGAGAGAGAAGGAAAGAAAGGAATAGTAGTAACACTAGAGGAATGGGAGATGAAAAGAAATATAATTGTGAAGAAAAAGAATTTGGATAGAGGAATATATATAGACGATAACCTAACCAGGAAGGAAAGAGAGA